TTATTTTATTTTATTTTATTTTTTGTTATTAGTTATAAAGAGAAAACATGTTTAACTTGCTGGTGACAGAGTTGGTTTACCCCAGAAATGCAAAGAAATTTAGCACTAAAAATAAAAAATCAATGTTATTGACATTGTGTAGCAGTCAGGGATTACCCAGGAAAATAGAAACCTCTTTAAATATTTAACACAGTGAAAATTTAACCTAGAGGAATGATTATACGAGTGGTACAGAAGCCAAATGAGAGAAATTTGGGGAACCCACTAATTAGCAACATGAGAAAGTCAATCTGACCTCCATCCTGGAAGGACAAAGAGGTGGTAGTGTCACATGAACCTAGGTGTTGGATTCCACAGGATTTGAAGGCATGGTGGGTCAATGTGACAGTGGCTGGACCCCCTGGGAATATGTAGTCATTGCAGGAGAAGCCATCTGCTGCAGAGGAAGGAGGAAAAACTGACTGCTCTATCCTCCTGGGTTCTAATCTCCTGATGATGCTTCCAGCTGGCTGAACTAAAATGGTAGCCAAATATTGGTGAGCCTAGGATTTACAGTCGTTAGGGGTTAATACTTGTATAATTGAGAACAGAGCAGAGGAAGAATGAGGGATAGATATGGACATAAATAGAACCAGGGATGTCTTACTATATCAACAGATTGAATAAGAACAATCATATATAATTTGATAAATAAAAGTGTCTAATAAAAATATACCTCTATTTGTAATAAAAACGTTAGTCCCAGAGTATAAAATGTATATCCATGAGTCCATACTGATATAAACAAATGACCGTCCTTTCTCTTGTTGATGTGATGTATTACATTGATTGATTTGCATATGTTGAACCAGCCTTGTGTCCCTGTGTCCATCAACAGGTGACTGGATAAAGAAGATGTGGTATATTTATACAATGGAATACTACTCAGCCATAAAAACCGACAACATAATGCCATTTGCAGCAACATGGATGCTCCTGGAGAATGTCATTCTAAGTGAAGTAAGCCAGAAAGAGAAAGAAAAATACCATATGAGATTGCTCATATGTGGAATCTAAAAAACAAAAACAAAAACAAACAAACAAACAAACAAACAAAAACAAAGCATAAATATAGGACAGAAATAGACTCATAGACAGAGAATACAGACTTGTGGTTGCCAGGGGGGTGGAGGGTGGGAAGGGATAGACTGGGATTTCAAAACTGTAGAATAGATAAACAAGATTACACTGTATAGCACAGGAAAATATACACAAAATGTTATGATAACTCACAGAGAAAAAAATGTGACAATGAGTGTGTATATGTCCATGAATGACTGAAAAATTGTGCTGAACACTGGAATTTGACACAACATTGTAAAATGATTATAAATCAATAAGAAATGTTAAAAAATAAAAAACAAAAAAAACCAAATGACTGGATAAATAAATAAATGGGGAAGAATAGACAAATCTCTTATGCAGAAGAATTACATTTCATTTATGTAGATAGTCCCAACTCAAGGAAGGGGAGCATAACTCCTTACTCCTTAAGTGTGTGCTGTGCATAATAACCTCTTTCCAAACAAATTACAATGTGGAAAGGGGCAGAGAGTAACTTTACAGTAGAGAGGCCTGAAATGTATAACCTAAGTTGTGCATGTCAGTGAAGTGTGTCCTTTCCAACTACAACATTGAATCACTAGTGTGAGATTCCCCACTTCCCCTTCCCCTTGCTACAAAGATTAGAGAAACACAAGTCATCGAAGACCCTGTCAGCTTGTCCCTGAGTGGCTCCTTTGATGACCTGCAATGGACACACACTGTGAGGAGGAAAAAAGTCACTGAGATTTGGGGATTGTTACCACAGCAGCACCCACTTAACCTCTCCTGATTTTCCTGTAATATATTGGGCATTACATGGTTGGCCATTGTCTAGAGTCTTTTCTACTTATTGGAAAGGAAGGTGAGCATCTCACTTCTCTTAGCAAAGTACCCACATACTCCTCTGAGTGGCAGGATGGGGAGAGCACTCAAGGGCCACAAGGTCCACCTGGGGTTGCAGGCCACTTACAGAACCTGAGTTGTTGACAAGAAATTAGCCAGCAGAAAAGAACTCAGTAGCTAAGGCCAGGCTCCAGAAGTACTGTGAAAGCTACCCTTCTACCTCCAACTGCATTTTCTCTTTCTGAGCGGAACTGTGACAACACCAGCCCCACCCTCCTTGGGCAGATCACATCTGTCAGGTGCGAATGCACAGCTCTCCTGTCCTGCTTTGGGCACAAAAGGGACCACAGAGGAGGAGACATTAGGTTAAGGTTCCTGTTGCAACTCCAAGGTTTTCATCAAAAAGTGCTTCGAGGCAGGTGCACTGACACATGAGGGCCACAGCAAGGACCTTCTGCATCCTCAGCAGGATGTTTTAATGTGGCTCTAACAAACTTTTTAAAAGCTGAGCATGCCTCTCTTCCCACCCCTACAGGGCTTTCTTGTGGTCTGTTCTGCACATCCACATTGCAAAGGAAACTTTAAAAAAATGTCCTTTATGAAGAACTTTTCTCACCAAAAATGTAAATAAATGTCCTCACTGTATTTTGACACAATGGCTTGCTACGTTTTAAAATTTTTGTTTTAAATGATTAAACTGATTTGTACAAAAGTGTAAACTAATTTCAACTGTGACATCACTGTTTCCCCTCCTCTTGAAAACCATGTTTTCAGATGTCCCAGGGTAGGAGGAGGTGGATGTGAAAAGCTGTGGGGAGGCAAAGGTGAATAATGGAAGCCAGAGATTTCCTGGACCCAGACATACATCCCTCCGAATGCAACAGAGAGAAAACACAATGACCCATAAGCATATTTGCAATTATATTTATTTTCTCCTTTTGGCTATCTACAAACCTTTATTTCAGCAAATTTTTCAGAAGTATCATTTTATGCTTCTTCATGTTTTCCTTATTAGAAGTCAGGACTGGTCAAGGTCTTTTTCATGCAAAAGCACACATTTAATGAGACAAAGAGGGAACCGGGTTATCTTCAGGGGTCTCTGCTGCTCTGAGCCTCTTGCCAGTCAGACCATTCAGGGTACATGGGTATTGGTCATCTTTCTTTCTTGGTTTTCACTGCCTGGGCCCAGTATCACTTCTGAAGAACTGTGTGTGTGTAGTTTTACTGTATTTCATCTGCTTTCAGAATGGCACTGCCTTAGCTGGCCTCTGAAGAATTCCAGGCACCATAGCCAGTTATGCTGGACTCGGGTACTTTCAGTTCTGGTAATGACTACTGACCCCGGGGATGCAGTCTGGCAAGATGGTGGGTGCAAAGTCTCACATATGTTGAGTCAACAGAGGTGACCCTGACCAACTGGGGGTATTTCATAATATATCAGGGAAACATTGTAACACCCTCCCGCCTCCCTGTCCTGAAAACCCAACCCTGATAATAGAGAATTTGTATTGATCACAGGACATGATACAAAAACACATATTACACACTGCACTTTCAGTAAGACAAGTCACAATTTCCTTTGGTGCTCATCACCACAGCAGGGTACCATGCAGGTGGAAAGCTTAGTGAATGTATTCGTTAGTTAATAGCTCAAAGGGTTAGCTCTTTTATGTACAGAATAAGGAAACCTCATTAATAATGGCCACAGTCTCAGCAAAAATCAGCTCTAAATATGCAAAGACTTTGCAGCCTTGCTATTAACAAGATGACACGGGTTGTAAGAATACATTTGACAAGCTCCAGTAAGACCCAATAGATCATCTGTTATCTCTGCAAAGGTGCTGCACAATAGCAGATGGAATAGGCAAGAACTTGGTAGGAAACATGTCACACATCCCCACAACAAAATGACACTTTGGAGACCCAGAGATCTCCTTCCCGTGGTAGTGGTGAAGGGCTTTTAGGGGGAAAGTTAATAGGATAGCTCATCTGAGGAAAAGAAAGGAAGGTGGGTAGAGGAATAAAGTGGGGGTTGCTCCATTCCCGACTGAGCAAGACCTTTCCCTCTTCCCAAGCTCCAAATTATCTGTCACCACAAGTACTCTCTGATTGGGCTGAGAAATGCTCTGGTGGGCTGAGCCCCAGGAGCGCCCTGCTAGATGCTCTGCACTTCAGAGTTATTTGGTGAGAGGTAAGGAGTGGGAGGGGATGTTGGCAGCCAGCTGGAGGATGGTGTGCCTGTACAGCTGGGGTCAGCTAAGGGTGGAGCTCAACAACGACACTGACGACAGAACACACAGAGAACATGACAAGGGGAGATCTGGCAATTGTCAGGCTAAAATGACCAAGTCTATGGCAAACTCAAAGGTTCAAGTTTCTGAAAAGATGTTATTGCCAAACCTCCACCTCACCTTGACACTGAATCTCACATTGTGAGTCGCAGTAGTTCAACTGCTTTTACTGCAGCACACTAGGGCAAAGTTTTCTTTTTTGAAGATATAATATTAAATCTAGCTACATGGATCTATAGGGATATTTACAACTGGCCTCTCTGCCCTTCCTCTGTGCTCTGCAGCTTTCCTGTGCCTTTCTGCCAGATATCTCTTAAAATCCCCATTTTGGTTCCCACTGCTCCAGTTTCTACATATGACCTCACCCTAAATGAACAGGCTGCCTCCTGCAGGGCTCAAAGGCACTCCTGGGTCCTGAAAACCTAAATTCAAGTCAAACAAACAATGTTTAGGCCCAAAGAGGAAGCCTTCCAATAGCTATGATGAGAGCTTCAGATGTGGGGTCATTGCTCTCCCCAGAAGCCTGATCTCTCTCTGCGGGGGTGTCCAAAAAGAAAGAGGCTATCTTAGGCGTTCCAGCAGCAACTTTCTTGTTTTTTGCTGTCTCACAAGATTTGTGTGTGTGTCTGTGTGTGTGTGCAGATATGAGGGTAAATGTGTGTGATTGTGCATGTGAACATATGTGTGGCTGTATGTGTTTGTGCATGTCTGTGTGTATATATGTATATACTGAGATTGAGTGCCCAGGTGTGTATACATGTATGTGTAATTGTGTAGGTCTGTGTGGGTGTGTGCAGGAGGCTATATTTGTGTGTATAGAAAAGAAGAAGAGAGATGGCAAGCTGGGCTGATCAAGGCAACCAATCCCTGGGGCTCTTTGCACTTCTCTCCTTGGTCAACCCTCAGCCCTCTGACTATTTCTTTCCCTGGAGAGGGTGGAGGAGGGAGTTCTGGACTCCAAATCCAAATCCAAGGCTGAAGTTCAGCCAACAACCTTCCCAGGATGGGCTGTTAAAGTGCCCTTGCCCCGAATGGGCCCACCACCGCAGTCCATGCCTGCAGCCATCTCCCAGGCACCTTTGGTTCTTTGCATCTAGCTGCTAGCAGCCAATCCCCTGAGCCATTTCATCACATCACCCACCTGCTTGTGGATACTTCCAGCACTGACGAGTGTCAGTGATTGGAATAACGGGATGAGTTATAAAGGCTATATACAATGCCCTCTCCAGCTCTTTAGCTCTCCCACCCAATTGTATACATCATATTTTTCTTCTTAAGGCATCTTCAAGGCTTCCCAACCCCAACCCCTACCTTTATTACTCCCAGACATGTCCTTCCAGGACAAAGCAAAACCTCTGCTCTAACAGCCTAGCTCGTGATCGAGCATTTCCTACCAGAAGGCACAAAGTTATCACTTCCTGGTACTACACTCACTTCTTCTGCATCTTCTATCCAGAAGACAGAACAGATGGGTGGAGGAAGGAAGAGAGGAGTGGATGAAGACTGGGAGACGCTGCTCCCTGGAACAGGAAATTGGAAAGAAACAGTTAACCAGCCTGGCCAAATAGGGCCCGCCCCTTATGTGGGAAAAGGCCAAGGGAATTTTGGTGGTTCTAGAAGAGCCACCAACAGGGAATACATATACTATCAGGTATATTTCCTTTCACACCAATTTAAATCAGATAAATAAACACAGGTATGCACACATGCACTTATACACACACACACAGAATACACTCATGGATCTACACACAAGCACACACATGCATAAGTCATAAGTTTATACACTCTTTCACAGGGGTGCACACACACATGCATCCACATATTGTTATATATACACCATTATAGATTTACACGAATATACATAGTACTATACATCTTTTCAAATGGTCGTATGTGCCACACAGAACTAACTTGACACACACACACCCAGGTAAACACAGAAGTGCAAACATAGCAACACGGTTAAAAGGGTAGGTGGCTGAGGGGCTGCAGGAGAGGCTGCCTAAGGAAGAAGGAGGGACATCGGCTGAGTGCTTGGCAAAACTTGCTCCCCCACCTCCTCTGTCAGTGAAGAGGAGCTGCTTGGTAAGTTGAAGTGCAGGCTACTGTCTACTTCCCTCAGGAGCCCCACAAGGTGGGCAGTTCAGTATGCTCAGTTCATGTTCAATATGCTCAGTTCATACTCATTGTCTGCTCATTGGTCTCTTTCTGCAGAGATGCTCCAGGTGCTGTAGAATGAGGTCTGATGCCTGGCAGATAAGCAGAACCTGATGGAGCACCCTCTTTGTAAAGGGGAGGGGAGAAAGTGGAGCGCCTCAGCTGAGAGAGTTAAGAGGACAAGAAGAAGGAAGAGCGAGTAGGGTGGCCCCACTGCTCACTGGATGCATGTCCTCAAACATGGGACAAAAGCTCCATTTTTTCCCTCCAAACACTGGGGACAATGTGCTTTGCTTTCCCTGGCTCATTGGGCTCCTGTGAAGGTTCAACAATGTGATGGATGAGTGAGCTTGTTGACACTTAATCAGGCACTAGACAAACAGGAAGGATTAGTATCTAGATTCACAACAGTTGTTTATCTGCTATTCTAGATCAGATAGTGAACTTCTCTAACCTTAGTCTTCATCCACCAAGTACTTGCACTGTGTCTGGTGATCAACTCAGCATCTGACCTAGACAGATGTATTGAGTCCCTATTGTCAAGCATTCTGAAGTGAAAATATATACAAGAGAAATTCCAATCCCTCCAAAGATGCCAGCTCAATCTGAGTAATCTCCAACTTGACATCATTCACCCCCTGCAAGCTTCCGCTGGGAATATGCTCTCTCACTTACCCTGACACCTCACTCCGCACCCCTACCCACCCATCCACATTCCACTCCCAACCCTGCACCACATACCACATTCAAAATACAACAGAAAAATAGTGGGGAAAAGGCACTTTCAAAATCCCCCAAGTTCACTAGAGCCAGCCCCCTGCAATTGTAAGAGATGAATAGCCCTTCCCCTGTGCACTGAAGCCCAACCCAGCTAGCTTTCTCCTATAAAACCCTAAGCAGGAGGTGAGCAAGGACTAGAATCCCTGGAGGAAAAAACAGGAAAAAAATTGTGAAAAAGAAAATTCAACACTTCAGTGGGACAGAAAAGCCCCCAGAAATGTTTTTGTGCACAAGGCTCAGATCTTTCCTCGGTCCCCCAATCTGGCTCCTCTATGTCCTATAAACATTTCCAGGGGGCTTTTGTATGCTTATTAGGTGTTAGAAGTATTTGAAAAGGTGACAGTATTCAGCAGAAAAGGAAAATCAATGTGCTATTTACCTTCAACTCCTCCTCAATCCCTTTTCTTCCAGCCAGAACATATCCTTTCCAAATAGTCCCCACCTCATGTTTATAAAGAGAAAGTTAAAGTGGATTCAACTGTCCAAATAACTACAAAATAAAAAAAAAAGCAAAGAAGGCAAGATGGAACCAAAAGGAACTGTGAAAGGAGCACAGCACAGTTGCCCTGCCACTCTGGGACATTATGGAACTAATTGATATGGTATGCCCAATAAGCAATGTTGAACACCACAAAGGCAACAGGGAAGAGGACCCTGGAGCACCTGTCAACCTCAGGGACATAGTCAGGGTTGAAGAGCTTGGAGGAGAACTGTTTACTGAAGGAGCATCTAGGGCTTGGGGGGCAACTGTCATCAGACTCAAAGAAGTTACTGTCCTTGTCTTGATCAAAGCTGCTAGCATCATCAACATTAAGGCTCCAGGCACTATCAATATCACGTTTGAGTTGCTTTTCAAGGTCAAGGTACCCGCTCTCAACTTTGATGTCCTCAGGCAAGCTATGAATCTCACTAAGGGTGCTACAGATCTCATCAAGGGTGCTAAGCATCTCATCAAGGTCATAGCTTGCTTCTTGCACACACCTGTGGCCGTGAACAAGCAGACGCCTCCTACTGGGGCCATAGGCATGGCTTTTGTCAGAGCTGGAGCTCTCTTCGGGGTCTTCTGGGTCACAGATCTCAGCACAACCATGGGCCTCAGCACGGTTGCGGATTTCAGTGGGGATAATACTGTCAGCATTCTCCATACCATTAAAGTGAATGCCATAGCTGTGCAGGGACTGCTCTGAGGTGGATGGGAGGTCACTCATGCTTTCTCCAGTGGCCAGCCACGACTGGTCTGAGAGAGAAGACAGTGAGCCGAGGCTTTCTGAGGAGGCCAGTGGTGCCTGCTTTGAGATGGAGACCAAAGAGCCGAGGCTTTCCAGGCTTGTTAGGCTGGCCTGCACTGGTATGGAGGGAGGAGAACCATTCTCATCTTCTATGTCAACTTGGTCATTCTCAAAGGAGATAGCAGATAGACTCATGAAGTCATTCCCTGCATGAACAATCACTGTTGGGGAGGAAGCAGGGATGGGACTTGCCTCATCAGCATTTGTAACATGATTGATGCTCTCTTCCATTGACAGAGTCACCTCTTCCTGGGGTCTCTGGTGTGGAAGGGGATGAGAAACAGGACCAAGAGACTGTTAGCATGCAAGGAAATTCCACGGCTGCTGCTGCCCCACTGGGGCAGTTGATCCCTCTGGAGTGCTGGGTAGTAGACAGAGGCAAGGCCCTCTCAGGCAGGTGGGGTTGGATTCCCTGTGAAGGAGGGGATTGCTGGATATTAACACACTGCCAGCAACAAAAGCCTAAGCACGGCTTTGGGAATCAGAAGGGCAAAGGAAGGAGGGGTAGGCCAGCCTCTCTGATGTCTGTCTCTTCCTTTCAGCTTCCCTGTGTTCCTTTTCCCTCTGGCTTAATCACCTGCCCTTGGAAACACGCTAAGTAGACTGGATTTGAAGCCGAAAGATCTGTGGAAATTTAGCTCTGCCACTTACTAGCCTTGTGACCTTGGAAAACGACTCAACCTATAAAGGAGTGATGCTAAATTGTTCTACTTCTTTGTTATCTGGGTGTGTGTGTGTGTGTGTGTGTGTGTGTGTGTGTGTCTGAGTGTGTTGTGAGGCTCAAAGAAGCCAAGAAATGTCAAAAGTCAAGTGCTAATCTTAGGCTTAAGAGGTGCTCAGGGAAAGTGGACTGTTTAGTCAAGAAGCCAAACCTGTACCTTTGTCTCCCGGTAGCGGTAGTGGGCCAAGGCACTTAGAGCTCTTCTGAGTTGCCTCTGAGATAGCTGGGGTAGTCTTCGGCTATAGAAAAGATAGTTGATGTAGACATATTCCAGCAAGGACAGGAACACGAAGAAGAAGCATACCACCATGTAGATGTTGATGGCTTTGATACAGGAAACTTGGGGGAGTTTATCCCGCAGATGTGAGTTAATTGCATTCAGGATGAGCATTGAAGTCAGACCTATAAATGACATAGCACAAGGTGAGTCCCCCCCCCAGGTGGCTGAAGTTCTTGGCAATCGACCAGACTCACATCCCACTGGAAAGGAGCAAAGACCATCTCTGGGGTTGGGACGGTCCTCAGCAAAAGGCCTTCAGCTTTGCAGGCTTAGGGCTCTGGCTCAAGTGTTCTCTTGGCTTCTCCTTTCCTATCTTTACACCCAGCTTGTACTTCAGTGGTTCAGTGACTTCCCATTGCTCTTAGGATCAAGTCAAAAATCTCCACTCATGGTTTCATGGTGATTTATATGTCCAGCCCCATTTTGCCCTATGATGGTCCTTTCCCCCTTGACCTTCTAGTACACAGGCTTTCCTGTAGTCCCCCTCAGCACTAAATGAGATCACATCCCTAAGAAGGTTTGTGAACTCTAAAATATTACACAAATATAAAAGTTTAGTTTAGTGTGTGCTCCTAAAGAAGGAGGCTGAATAGTCTGCTCCAAAGATGGTGAAGGAGAGAGCAGACCTGGATCTGTGATACACTGGCATTCTGCAGAGTGAGACCAGATAAACTTGGGATCTGATCTCTTAGGCTCCTCTCTGGTACTGATCAAAAAGCCTTTGATGCTCCCTGTTGCTTAGACATGAAGTTCCAACTGCTTAAAAAGTGGAATTTTGAGTTCTTCCTAAGTCAGCCTGGGCTGTTTTTCTGCTACTCTCTCCACTTCCGCAGCTCATGCCTCAGGCATCCTGTGATTTAGCCCCCTTTTATGGCCCCTTTTCCTTTAATCAAGCTATTTCCTTTTTTAGGCAATGCTGAGACTTGTGTCTCTGCCTCCTGGAAGCCTTCAAAATCCAGTTTTAGCAACACTTTCTTGATGCACTTTTGGACAATAAGACCCAGGTTACTTCTTCCTTGGTACTCTGATAGCATCCATCTAAGCATTCTACTAGACACTCGTCAAGGGCAGCTCCTCTAGAAAGCCCTCTGCTGCCTAGTATGGCATTTTGATACATTGCTGAATCAGTGTTTATTGTGTTTCATTTCTGATCTAAATTTGTGAATTGTCCATTAATTTATGTATCCATCAAATAATGAGTTCTGGTACTTTGGACCCAACATACCAAGATCCTAGCCCTGATGTTTTTTTCACACCTGTCTCCAATGTTGGTCTCTCTGCTGTGAATTGGCTGAGCACCTGCACAAATGCCTATTGAGCAGGTCCCATCTTGTTTCCTTGCCTGTGAAGTCACACACTGCTCCAGGTACTCTTCCTTACTCTCAACATTTTTTTCTGACCAAGATGGCCCAAGTTCCTCCCTGGGATGGGGACAGGACCTACCGACTGTCACCCTGGCTGCAGAGGATTCATAGTTCATACAAAATGATATCCAAGAGACAACAGTGGTGAGGATGGTAGGCCAATAGATCTGCACAAGGTAGCTGGTGATTTCCCTCTTGACCAGGAACCTCAGTATCAGGCGCATGTAGGAACCTGGCAAGGAGACACAATGGTATTAGGGTGGCAGGGCTGAGGAGATTTTCAGGGTGAAGTACAGGATGATTGAGGGTAAACTAATGACCAGTTCAGCCTATAATATTCCAGCCTGGGAAGCCTGCAGACCTGATTTCATTTGCTGCCCTAAGGCCAGTGACAATGACATGTGTCAGTAGACCCATATGGCATAGCAAGTCTGCTGTCTCTTCCTTCCTTTCTAACTTGCTCCATGTCAACTGAAGTTTTGAAATGGGAGACACATGAGATATTTCAAAGCTGTAAACAGATGGAGAGGGAGAAGCTGGCTCTGAAAAGAGCCAAGTGCTTCCGTACCCATTTCCTCATTGGCAGAGGGGAAACCACTGGGACTTTCTGAAGGGGGCTTTGGAAGGTGACCAGACAAGAAGGAAATAGGAAATAGGAAAGAAGGCAGCAGGGAGTCTAGAGGTTAAAGCCAGAGGTCACCATGAGTTTCCTAGGTACAAAAGAGACACGAGACAGGAGAGAAGGAAGGGGTCAGACCCACCTGTGTAGAAAAACACCTCTTTGCTAGTCATCATCTTTCCCAGGAAGCTGAACTGAGGGATGTGCAGATTCTCAGTCCCCTGGATGGCATTCTCATTATCTTCCCAGTATAATACAATGTCTTCCACTGTATAGCCATCTGGGAGGGGGAAAGAAACAGAGAAAGTCAGTCTCAGAAACCAAGTATAGGCAGATTTCACATCAGGGCAGTTTGTGAAAGCCAAAGGATAGACAGAACCCTCACTTTGATGGAGGCTTCCTTTGTGTTTTGTGGGTCTGAGCATGGGGGAGGGGGCACATAGAAAGAGAACTCTCAGTTTGGAGTTTATTATCCGGGAAGGGAAACACAGCAAAGAGATGTGCTCCTACTGACTAGCTTGTGCACAGTTTCCCCATAGCAAGGCACCATTTCCCTATGAGGCTATTATCACCCTAAAGGCCACCTTCTCCCAGATGCCATATATACTCTGTCTGTCTACATATCTGTCTAACTATCTATCTATCAAGGAGAGAGAGAAAGGGGGGAGGGAGGCAGTAGGGGAGATATGCCATCTTTCTCACTGTCAAGTCTGCCTTTGGTTTCCTCATGGTCCCAACCCCAGGTAGGGAAGAAGGGGCCACGGGAGACATACGTACAGCTCTCCACTTCCAGCTTGCAGGTCTGCTTATCCAGAGGGAATTTTTGCAGATTCATGGAACAAGCTGCTGTGGTGGTGAGTCTGCAAAGGAAAAGCAAAAGGAAGGGAAAAGTGAGTCAAGCCCAGACAAGTAACCCTTCCTGAGAAAACTGCAGGGGTATGGCAGAGAGAGGCATCCCAAGGACTGACCCACCTAACACATTCTTCTTTCTCCTCTCTTTTTCCTTCCTTCCCTTTTAGAGGAAAGAGGAGTTGTAGTTGTGTAAGGAGACAGGGAATTTGTATGTGACAAAGAAACCAAGAAGTCTGATAGGACTCACAGAGAACATGTATATAGCATGTCAGGAAATCTCACGGTGTCAGAGTGGAAAGGGCCCTTGATGAAACTGAATGCAGAGACAGAATGGGGACTTTCTTACTGGAGAAGCAACAAGGCCATCAGGAGGAAACTGCTATACCTTTAGCCATGGAACCCTCTCCCACAGCACTTCCATCTCTGTACCTGCTTATGAGAGTGCTGGAACTGAGCAAAAGGCTGGTGTTGTGAACAGTTAGGAGGGGTTAACATATCTGAGGTGGTCTATGGAGTGTTGGGCAGGGGCTTCAAGTTGCCATGTGGTAGGTCCATGAGAGGAATCTGAGGAGGCACCTTGGAAGACCTGAGGAAGTGACAAGTGGAAAAGAGGATAATTACAAAAGCTCTCTGCAGCTGCAGCTGGGAGGCTCTGCCCCATTCCTTTATTCTGCCCTTCCTAGCTGCTAACCCCAACCCAGTCCCTTTCAACCCTTGAAGTGATTTCCATTTTGTATAGTGTGTAGTGTGTGTGTGTGTGTGTGTGTGTTTCTCTTCCTTCTATGAATTCTCCATGAGCATTAATCAGCTAAAGCCCCCTTTAAATGAAAGGAGTGTGACCAGTGACCTGTTCCCTGTAAGCTTTGTTGTTCTCTGGCTCCAGCGCCTCAGTCCATGGGAAGGTGAATGGAGAAAGAAGAGAGAAACAAAGGTACAGAGCAAAAGCGCCCCAGAGAAAGAGACCCAGAGAAAGAGCTGTACTCTCATAGTTACCTCTTGAAGAACTTTTCTGAGCTGAAATTCTCTCTCACGCTTATCTTAAGAGACAGTTTGTAAGAGATGAGGCTGTGAGGACTGCTTTGGTTATTGTCTGCTATGCCTATAAATAGACCAGTGAGGAGTTCCAGTCTGTGCACATCCTGTTTGTACAAATCCATAGGCAACAGGCACACACTGCACACCCTCCCCTGCATGACACGTATATCACCAATGGCACAGATTAGTCCCCCTCCCTCCACTTCATGGGAAAGAAAAGACACAGATAAATAACAGAATGTATATACAATGCTAAGGCAGAGGGAGAACTCTTCCAGTTGAGAAAATCAAACAAGATTTCTTGACAAAGAGGGCATATGAGTTAGGGATTGAAGGATAGGCAAGGTTTAGACTATAGAAAGAGGAAAGGTCCATTCTAGACAGATGCAACAGCAGAAGCCAAGGTGTGGAGACAGGACAACCATGATGGCTGTGGGAAACTATCAAGGTTCCACTTTGACTACTGGGTAGGATGAGTGAGGGGGCGGTGCAAGACAGATTTGGAAAGCAATGAGTCTTCTGTATGTCTCTTAGAGTGTGTTCGTGGGATACTCAGTGGGAAGAAGGTAGCCTGCTAGGATGACCCCTAGGTCCCTGGGGAACTCACCGCATGCTATACCACACTGTTCCATCTGGGTGAAGCTGAAACACGCGATTTTCCATAGTCGCATCATGCACAAAAGCATCCTTGCTGTTTAGAAAGTAGCAGTCAGGGACCCACAACTTCTCAAACATCCGATAGTCCAGGGTCAGGTTCAGATTGGTCTCATAGTATGCTAAACGTGGATCCTTCCAGGTCTGATGGAAAAACATTGTAACAGTATAGTCCTAAGGAGAGAAAGGTAAATTCCAGTTGTAAGTGAGATTGTCCAGATCTCGGACCTCAGAGTGTGTGTGCATGCAGGTGTATGAAATACACCAGAAATAGAGATGAATAATGAAACATATGTAGGAATGTTCAATGTTAAGAATAATAAAATGAGCCCCATATAATTAAAATTCAGGTTAATAAATAGAACATTCACAATAACTTTCAAGCTTCAATGTGTCTCTTCCAGAACATACTTTCCATACCTCCCAGCAATATCCATCATCTTAGATTTTAATAACAGTCCCTTGCTTTTCCTATGTTTTATTGTCTATGTATTGCTAAGAAGTGTATTGCTTAGTTGCACTTATTTAAAAATTTTTTCCCGAATGGAATCATGCTCTATATATTCATAACTTGCTTCTTTCACACAACATTGTGTTTGTGAGAGTCATTCAGGTTGATGTGTGTAATTAAAATTTGTTCACTTACATTGCTGTATAATATTCTCTTACATGAATATACTATGTATATTACTATATGATCACACCATACATGCCAAAATCATGATGAAATAAAAACTATGAAGTGAAAGTTCCAGTTTATACCCATGCTAAGAGCATATGAGAGTTCTCAGTGCATCTGCCTTGCCAGCTTTGGTATTGTCTGACTTCTGACTTTTGCCAGTCTGCTGGGTGTGCAGTGGGTTCTCACTGTGGTCTTATTTTGCATTTCACTAATTAATAATAAGCTCAAGCATCTCTTTATAAGTTTATCTGTTACTTGGTTTTCTTCACAAAATGAAGTTCCTGTTTAAATTTTCTGATCATTTTTCTATTGTTTTAAAATATTATTCTTATTAATTCACAAGAATTCCATATATTTTCAATATCAGTCCTTTGAGTTGCAAATATCTTAGTCCACTCTGACTTATCTTTTCAAACTTGTCATACTGGCTTTGTTTCTTCGTTTTGCAAAACAGAAGCACCAGAAGTTTTAGCTAAAGAGAATGTTAATATAGTTGAAGATAACCAGTATTTATTTTTATACTTCGTGTTTTCTGTGTCCTTTTTAAAAAGTCCTTACCTATCTCAAAGACACAAAAACAACAGCCTATATTATATTTTAAAAGCTTCATAAGCCTTTCACTTTTAGGTCTGTAATCTGTTTATTACAGATTATTTTATTTATTTAATTTATTTTTTTATTCCAAGTGGCTGCAGTTTCCAAAACCTACTGTGCTCATCCACATTGGCTCTGTTGCAGGTCAGAACAGAAGGAGTTAGCTTATGACCCTGCTCCTTGTCTCATGTCCCTTGTCACCAGCCCCATGTCTGAAGCTGACACACTTACCATAGTCATTTCTGAGATCTGTTCAATACTGGAGACATAGATAGATATTCCCACGGGCACAGGGGCACCTACAATACAGGAAGACACTATTACATGTGGAGTAGGAAAAAAGATAAGTGCATGGACTCAGAAGCCAGACTGCCTGAGCTTGACCACCATTTTGGCACTTACTAGCTGTGTGGCTGTGTGACCTTGAATAAGTGACCTAACCTCTCTGAGTCTTATTTTCCTCATGAGTAAAACGGGGATAATGATAACACTAATCTCATAGTTAATAAAGTCAAGCACTTAGAGTAGGCTCTGGCTCATGATATGCTGAAAGGAAGAGATCTGGGCAAAATAAAGGAAAAATAAAGAAGAGGAATCACTATTTTTCCAAATGTTTTCTTGATAACAACTCAAGAACAATGGGCCCCAAAACAAGAGCCAAGATTTGGGGTGTGCATGAGCATAGTGGTGTGAGTGTATGTGTGTCTTTGTGTGAGTGAATGTGTATCTTTGTGTGAATGAATGTGTGAGCTGTGTGCATGAGTGTATGTGAGCATGGTCACATGTATGAGTAAATCTGTAAGCATGTTCATGTGCAGGAGAATGTGTCAGTGTGCACATGAGTGTATGTGAGCATATCGGAGTGTGAGAGAATGCACGAGCATGTTTTTGTGCGTGCATGTGTTGTGTGGGAGTCAGTATATGAGAACGCACATGTATGTAGGAATGGTGTGTGGGAGTGAATTAGGAACGTGTTCATGTGCAAGTGACTGCGTTTCTGTGTTCCTGTGGGAGTGAATGTGAGCTTGTTGATGTGCAAAGGAATGTGTGAGCATGGGTGTACTTGTGTGCTTCTGTGTGTCTGTCAATGTGTGAGTGTGTGCGTATGTGAATACACCCATGTAGATGAGTGATACTGTGTGTGTTCATACGTAAGCATGTTTGCATGCTTGGATATATTGCATAGGAGTAAATGTGGAAGCACATGCTGGCACATGGACAAGGTGTGTGGAAGTGAATGTATAAATGCGTTTATGTGCAAGTAAGTGTGTGAACAGATGTGCTTTGTGAACATGTTTCTGTGCATGTGAGTGAATTTGTGAGTATGTTGGTACATGTGAGCACATTAATATATGGATACATTTGTGTGTGAGTGAATTTGTGTGTTTTTATGTCTGTGAGCATGTTTGTATGTGAGTTCACTCACACACAAATGTGTGAGCACATTTCTAGGTGAGTGAATGGGTCAGCATGTGTGTGTATTTGAATGTATTGTGTCGGGGGGGATATGCAGGTTGTGTGAGCCTGTTCATTTAGTGTATTTGTGAGTATGTCCATATGTAAGTGAATGCATGATTATGCCTGTGTGTGTAACTGTTGTGTTTAACTGAGTATGTTTGTGTGTTGAGTGTAAGTGTCCATGTGTTCATATGTATGAGCACATTCATGTGTGAGCCTGTGTGGGCATGTGAGTGCATGTGTAAGCAGTTTTGCATGTGTGATTTAATATGTGTTTTGTGAGTGAATGTTTGGGAATGTAAGTGAACGTATGAATGTTTGACTGTATGTGTGAGCGTGAGTAAATATGTTAATTGTGTGACTATGTGAATGTATTGCGTGTGTGACCTTGTTCATATGCAAGTGATAAACGTGATAAGTAATCACACTTCACACTTACACTCATCACACTTACACTCATCACCCTTACACTCATCACACTTGTAATTGTGAGTGTATGCAAGCGCGCTTATGTGCTGGAGGAAATGTGTGAGCATGTTGATGTGAGTGTGGTTGAATATGTGACTGTATGTAAGTGTGTTTGTGTGCGAGTGAATGTGTGACCATGCTGACATCTATGAGCATATTCATAGGTGTGAGCATGTCAATGTACAGGTATGAGTGAATGTGTGAGCATGTTTGTGACTTGGTAAATATGTGGACATGTTTGTGTGTGTTAGCAGGTGTGTGTGAATGTGTATTTTCATGTGTGTGAATGTCCAAGCTTGTGTGACTGTGCGTGTCTATGTGTTTGAATGAATTTGTGAGTGTGTTTGTGTATATGAGCATGTTTGTGTGTAAATGGATGTGTGAGCAGGTCCATGTGTGTATGCGAATGTGTGAGCATGTGTGTTAGTGTATGTGAGTGTGTATATGTGTATTTCTGTGTGTGTTCAGGTGAGTGAGGGTATGCATGAGGGTGCTTGTGTGTGTTAATATGTGACTATGATTCAATGTATGTTTCTGCCTCCTGACTTTCTTTTTTCAGGACTAGGTGTTACAGCTGCCCACTCAAATGTGATAATGGATGAGCAAATATGTAGTAAACTATCAAGTACTGTGGAAAAATACATTTTTATTGTTTCCTCATTAGTTCAAAGCTGCCTCCACCCAGCCCCACAGCTAAGCCATTATCCTATGTGTATTACATCATACTGCTGTTATGGAAACATGTGTGACGCTTCCAATTCAGCCTGCTGGCTTCACTTGCCCAGAAGCTGAGCTGCAAAGAGGGACATGTGTATTCCTATCCTGATGCTTCAAAAAGCAAAATGCTATTGGGAATCCACATATGAGTGGCAGCTGAGAAGTAAATGGGCCTCCGTGTGAGGGCATAGCCCAGACTCCAGCATTCAGGACTATTGTGAATGATCCACAGCAAAGTGCTCTGTAGTGACACAGGTTTCTAGAAAAGCAGTCTTTTTTTTTATTACAGCCTTTCAGGTTCCCCACATGCCTTTAGAGGATGGAAGCTGTGTTAGGCAGGCAAAAAGCACTAGAGGCCGGGCAGCCATCCCCCAAACCACCTCATCCTACTGTCAGACTTTTCATCATAGATCATTCTGTACCACTCAGGCAACCCCATCCCTTACAGCAGAATCCTGGATCCTGAAACCTAAAGGGCCAGGGCAGCCTTATCCAAGAGTTCCCAGTTGAAGGGGCAAGTGGGAGCCGAAACGCAGTCTACCTCCCCCTCACCAAGCCAGAGTCTTGGCCCAGGAGTGTAGCTTGGAGGATAGGGACCTGGTACCTTTTTCTAATTTATCCACCTAGAGGGGACACCTTATGTGCTAGCAGTGGTCAGAATGAGAGCTTAGCTAAGATATCCCACAACACATTTCTAAAAGGAGAACAAAGGGGAATAAGAAGCTTCTAGATAAGGTGTCTAAATGCTATCTCTGGAGTGATGGCTTCAACCTCATATTCCATCGCTGTCCTTCCTGATGGGCTTACGAAGGTAGGAAAGGTGGGAGGGGTAACCACTTCCCTCCTTCTTGGAAACTTTACTATCCCAACTCTTCTTCCTCCCTAGCATTCATCAGAGGAAGATGAGGTACATGAAGGAATGACAAAGGTGTCCAATTTATTTCTTCACTCCACAGCTAAGTCGTGCCATGTTGATGGACAAAGTCCTTAGGCACCTGCCTTTTGCAGCGCCGTGGAGTCCCGCTTCTCTTGGTCAGAAAGAAGCAGTTTGTTAACTTTCCCTGGTCCCTCCTCCTCCTCTTCATCCTCCTTCTCTTCTCAATGTAGTAATAAGGCTCCCATTTGAAGCTAACCACAGTTAGATCAGGCCCCTTCATTTGAGAGGTGTGTGTGCCTGTGTGTACCTGTGTGCCTGTGTGTGAAGCCCAGAAATTCTATTTAACTTCAGACACAGGGGAATTTGACTCTGTGTCTAGCAAGAGTCCTGAGTTGCCCCAACTCTAAACCCCTGGCCAAGCTGTCCCATTGATTGGCACCACCTCCCCATAAAACAACCCCAGACTTAGAGCCTGTAGTGCCTATGGTCTAAATTCTAGAAGGTCCTGCATTGCCTTTGCCCTCACATCTCCATCTATTGTTTGGCCAAACTGGGGCCCCAGGTCTGCGTGCCCATAGAGCTTAGTGTAACCCAGGAGGTTAGGCATCAGGTGTAAACAAATCCAAGGTAGCTCAGAAAATGGTGGTGAGGTGCCTTGGAGATACTGTGCTCCAGCCACACTTGACAATCCCCAGAGGTTGATCCTTGCCCCTCTTCCCCCCTCACCGCCAGCCCTGGATGTCTGCAGATATAGAAACCTGAAACAGTGGGGAGAACATGTTTGATATACTTGAATGGCTGTTGGTCAGTCTCTGCTGAGAAACATGACAACAGTGAATAGAGAAAATGTAATAGTTACACCCCTGACACCCACTGCTGCTTGGTGCAAAGGGTCCAAAACCAGTGTCATGTAATGGAGTGCTCTCTGCGCCCTAACATCTGAATTCTTATACTGAAAGAATCTGCTTTCTGCCCTCTCCACATCAGCTTCCCAGTCCCCAGTACACACTTACCTTGGATCCAGGGACTGCACTGCCTTCTGCCCTCACACTCGGAGGGAGCAAAGCAGTGAAGGGGATACCAGACAAGTGTTCCACCTCCAAACCTTAGGGCACAGGGCAACCGCTTTGGTTTTCAAGGGGGCTCCGCGGGCAAAGCACAGAGCCCCCACTGATCTACCACAGTGACAAGTCCCCTGTGCGCCCTTTCAGGCGGAGGCATTGTGTATTCCAAAGAACTCCATTCATATGTACAAATGTGAACCATTAGCATTCATTAACCCTTTAGACTGGGTGTCCGCTTCTACCAGCTGCAGGAAGCGAGTGCTTTCTCAGACTTAGTCACTCTGCTTTTTAGCTCTTTCTCTATTTCATTCCATTCGAAATGTGACTAGCATATATTTAATGTATCCTTCCTCTTGTCTGTCCTTGGTCTAGATTTTTTGGGTGTCCCTTCAGCCAGAGAATACTATTCTTGTTCTGTGGAGTTGGGTAGGTTCCTGTCACTTAAAGCTGTGTGATGGAGGCCAGTCGCCCTTTCTAAGGGGGAGAGGATAGGAGGCTAGGCAGAAATAAAAGGAAAAATTGATGTATTGTCTTCCTTCAATAGAGATTTACTTCAGTTTCCTTGCCATTTCTTGTCATCTCTGGGCTTGAGATCTGGGTGCTAAGCTAAGGAGTCTGGATTTTATTTGGCAGTTAAATAAAGCCATCAAAATTTCCTGAGGTGATCAGATTGGGTTCATAAAGATGACACTGACTGCAGTGTGTTGAATAAACTGAAGGCTTGGGGAGGGAGAGCAGAGGCAGAAGTGCCCAGGACCAGGGTGGGTGAAGTAAACTAGACAGAGAAGACCACACCCTTCATCTTAACCAGCTGAATGGGGTCAGTGTCCAGGGTGCAAAGAAAGTGTGCACAAGTGAAACTTGTGCCCTCCACATAGATGGAGCAGAAAGCTCTAGCCTGAGAAACACACCTAGTGTGGTTAGGGCTTCTCCAGCCACACTGGGGTGCATGCTTCAGGCTTGGGGTGACTGTCAAGGAATATGGAGGGGGCAGAGACCTCTTGCATAAGAAGGCTGAAAAGCTGGAGAAATTCCAGGGGGCAGAGTGAAAGGCCTGTGGTTGGGGGCTTGTAAGTGCTCTGCTGCAGGTCTCTGTAGGGTCAGGAAGGCGGGGTCTGGAGAGGCAGAAGAGTGGAGCCTAGAGGAGTGCCACTGGTCAGCTCACTGGGTGGGGCTGGCTTGTTGTGTCTCAGCTCTAGTATCTAGTATCTGGATGTGTCTTACCTCCAAAATTGGGCCTCAGACGGACATCATATTTCGACAGTACCCTGTCCAAAATCTTCTGCACCACAGCTTCATTTGCACAATTTTTGCTGCAACAAAGGAGTCATTGGTAAATATTGGTCATCAGTGAATGCCACATTGCTTCTGAGAAAAGAAACAACAAAGAACACCCCAGGCATCGACTTGCCAGAACCTTCTCTCCTCCTGCACACAGGCAGACATGTACAGTCATACATGTACACATCTCTCCCTGCTCCCCTCCCTTCCTACAGTGAGTCAGCCAGAAGCGCAGCAGTGACGCAAACTCCTCTTCCCCCCTCCCCCTCCCAGCTTTTATTCAAAGGGTGGGGCACAAAGACTGGATCCCTGTTACCAGGCAGAGTTGGGGGTGGGGGTGGGAGGAGATTATAGGGGAAGTGGAGAGGAGAGGGTGTGCACAGGTGTGAGCCCTCTGGTAAATACATGACTTCAGCCCCTAAGGATCCCTACCTTACCATCAGCCTGGATGCAGCTTTCCAGATTGGTGGGAGTCTTCCTTCCAGGGATGCCTGATTGCTCCAGGAAATGTCATCTTTCATCCTCACTGTCCCCCTAAGCTAAGCCAACCAGTCTACGTTCTCCAGCTCAGTCACATTTCTTCACCTAAGCTAGGGCTGGCATTTTGTTTTCACGTATATGTGAATCTTGTTTCTGTACACCTCTGTTGCTAAAACTTGGCATATGGCATATGACACAGAGAGAGAGTCTTGCCCATGTAGCAGAGATTTCTGACCCTCATCAATCAAAACGATCAATCAAATTTCCAATTCTTGGGGCTCAGGTCTGTCCTCAAAAACACATGTATTCTTGGAGCAAGCATCTCTTTGGCTAAGTATGTGCTTCCAGCCTAGACGTGTCTTGAGTGAGCACATATAAATGGATCCAGCTCAACTCTGCAGAGAGCTGGCCTTTCCAGAAGTCTTTGATGTGCTCATCCAATTCACCTAGTCCTTCATGGGGGCTCTTTTCCCCAAAAGGTGCTTGTGAATGAGAACAGGCCCTGGGCATCACTATGACTCTTAGGATCTTTGATGCATTGACTATGAAAACGTCAGCCCCTGCAATTCTCAGCGTGTGTGTGCGTGTGTGTGTGTTTAGTAGTGCAGTCTGGAATGTTCGGTTGAGGACATTGCAGGGCTGTCTGCTGGAACCTCGCCCAACTATCCCTCCCGCCCCTTTTTTCTGAAGACATGTTCATTTCTGGTTTGGCATTTAAAAAATTATTCTCAATCATCTTTAATGACAAAATTTCCAAGTATGCACATGAATTATTCCTGAGTTAAAGCAAGGCATTCCTGCCTGTTTAAGATCATACACATTACCAGTGTGCCAACACTCAGGGTCTGTGGCCAGTGCAAATACACATTTCCATGTGATCTACATGTAAAGGCTGACTGTTTAACATCTATTCAGATATTTTAGACGCAAAGAAACTTGAAATCAAATACGGATCCCCCCCATCAAATCTTCAAATATTCTCACAGGAGTAAGTACAAAAGCGCACCCATCTCAGGCCACACGAATATACTATATAGCCACCGATCACACTGTCTGAGCTCCGATGAGACTGAGTCAATAATTTCTATCTGCGGAATCGGAAAATGTCCCTCACCGCTCATTACGCACATTCACGAACATATGCACGCGCCTCAGGGAACAGACTAAAATTCGGACTCAAACAGGTGTCTCTACTGTCTATGTTTCGTGAATTGCCCATCACTCTGTACCCCCACCCCAATCCCACCAGTGCAAAGGACGTGACTTGGAAAATCTGCTAGGGTCCTTAGTCCCCGGGGGTGCATGGCAGACCTTGAGGTGAGGGCATACTTCCCCCCATCCCCCCAGGCTGCAGTTTGGGTACACGCGGGGTTCTGTCAGCCACCACAGTAACAGGTGGGCTGAAGCCCAGGGCTCTATCTCGACCGGCCGCCCCCACTCCCACCCCACCACCCTCCAGCGACCTGTAAGCAAGGCCCGCGCGCCAGGGCTCGGCAAGCCCGGGTCCAACTCTTCCCCAGCCCGCTCCGTCCAAGAGGCCGTGTTTGCCGGTCCTCTCCTGTCGCCACTGCCCACTTACCAGTTGAAGACTTTCAGGACTTCAGGTACGGTGGAAGGGAGCTCGAAGTGGAAATTTGGGGTGGGACTGGGGTCGTTGCCCTCCGCGAGCCAGGTTCTGATGAGCAGCAGGAGCACAGCGGCTCGCAGCATCCCTCGGATGCTCATGGCTGCGGCACTCCGGAGGTCGGAGGGCGCAAAAGACTGCCGTCAGCCGCTGGGGAAAGGGACGGAGTGTGGGGCGAGAGGGAGCTTGTGGGTCGCCAGGAGCCGCCTCTAAGCAGACTAGCGGGAGTCTGGGGAGCAGGGAGAGCGGGGGTCGGACCAGAGCCCAGAACCCGAGAAAAACAGCCCCTCAGCAGCTCTGCCAGACTCAGCGCCCTTAGGACGCTCCTGGCAGCTGCGAGGTGCGCTCCGTCTGCGGCCGCTCCAGGCTGCGACTGGGCACCCAGCCTGGCGCCTGGCTAGTTCCTCCCACTCCGACGGTAGCACTGGGAGAACCAATCCAGCAGATGCCAGGAGCCACACAAAAAGGCGCGCGCTCCTGCCTCCGCCCGCAGCGAGCGCACCGCCCGGCCCCCGCCCCTTCAGGCCTCTGCAGCGGTCCCCCGGGCCAGTAACAGACACAGACAGGGGCG